CTGGAACTGGCTATGGTCCAAGTGGGGCTGGAACTGGCTACGGTCCAGGTGGAGTTGGACCAGGTGGGGTTGGAACTGGCTACGGTCCAGGTGGAGCTGGAACTGGCTACGGTCCAAGTGGGGCTGGAACTGGCTACGGTCCAGATGGAGTTAGACCAGGTGGGGCTGGAACTGGCTATGGAGGTAAATGAGTTTTAAATCTTAAATAACATCTAAATACAAAAATATTTTGCCAACATATAACATTTGAAAAAATTGTAATGTGTTTGCAGACTATGCAGGTGCCAAAGCACGCAAATATGGTAAGGCAATATGTCATCTAATATACATTCTAAAGCTATATAATGATTGCAGCTATACCCAGATATAAGGACCAAGGAGAACAGATACCAAGACTCAGGGTGAATTTACAGTGTTTATTTACAAAGTGGTAAATCATATAATAAGCCAGGAAGGGAGCTGGAACCTTGAAGAGCAAGGAGATGATTAGTGGTCTGTAGACAGGGGTGATAATGTTATTGATGATCTTTCTTACAATGGAGATCAGAGTCAGTAGTGGGGAAAGCTGACCCAAATGGTTCCAGGTGAAGAAGGTGTACGTATGAACAATGGCAGGTGATAGGCAAGTGGTAGGAAGGTGTGGAGGCAGCTGAGGAGGCACAGAGGAGCTCAAGGTCCACAGAGGATAATCCAGAAAACAGGAGGACATCAGAGATTAATCGCTGGAGGCACAGAGAGAATACAAAGTCATTAATATTTAGTTTTAGACATGAGTAATAAGCTAGAACAGAACTACAGGTAATGCTCCAGCACTGGCTGAATGTCCTCTGCAACCTTTTATGCTCCTCGTGCTCATCAAGCCGATGATCCTCAGGTGCTGCTGATTAGAGTTAGGCTGTGGGTGCAGGAGCTGGCAGAGCAGAACTCCCACACTGTACCTTTGTAGGGTTTGAACCAAAAGATGATAACATAATGCTTTAATGGGAAAATTATTATCAAATGTTTATCTAGTTCTGTGCTGTTGAGATGAATATCCAGAGAATTCATTTATTTTATATATATATATATATATAAGCAACGTAGTTCTTTTTTTCCTAAAAAAAAATTTATACTCTTTGCATGAGTCTTTGTAGGTTTGGGAGGGCTTGGCACTGGAACCAGTATTGGTTCTGGACTTGGAATAGGTGGAGGAATTCCTGGAGGAGGTGTTGGACTGACAACTGGTGGTGGACCAGGTGGCTTTGGACCTGGCGGTGCAGGAGGTAAAAGCAGAAAAATAATTGTTTCATTGTTTTTAAGGAACTATGAACACAGGTGCAGAACTTCAAGTACTTTGGGGTCAGCTGTCCAGGAAAGGGGTGTGTGGTAAAAAGGTGAAGAAGAGAGTCCAGGCAGGACGGAGTGGATGGAGAAAAGTTTCAGGAGTGATTTGGGACAAAAGAGTCAGCTGTTTTGTGGTGTGGAGACAGAGACATGGACAAAAAGACAGGAGAAAGAACTGGAAGTGGCAGAAATGAAGATGTAGAGCAGGGCTATTCAACTGGCGACCTGTGGGTCACTTTCAGCCTGTGAGTGACCAAGTACAGCCTGCCAATGAGTTCATTAATAAAAAGAAGTTGAAAAAACTATCAATAAACATCTGTGAGAGGGACCTTTAAACAATTTGAAATGGCAATTATTTCAGCCAGAGAGGCAGTCCTGTTATGTTCCCATCTAACTTATCAAATGTTTCACAAGCTTTCAAAAGAACAGAACTCTCTCCCCCCTTAAAAGCAAAGCCAAACCAGGTTAGACCTCAGAACATTATTCTTTAGCAAGAATACTCACCGTTTAACTTGCTTCCCCCTTTATACATACCAGGAGCAACCTCAGACTCATGGTGTCAGTTGACAGCCAATAGTAGAGGTTTCAACATAAATGCCAAAATAAACCTGAACAGGACATTAACAAGAACAACCCATTTCCACACTCAGAAACATCGTAAACACTCAGAAACATTGCACATGTACTTTCCACAAGGCTACCCAGCATGCTTTGCAGCTCACAGTCTCTCTGGGACTCTCAGAGAGAACCTTGCAAGTTTGGGGGAAAATAAAGTTAAACAGAGACACACATCTTTGTTTTAATCTGGGGCCTACAAACATCTCTATTTTGGTGTTAATAATGTTTAATTATAAGAATTAAATTAGAAACATGAGTCTAAAGGCTGTGAGCTCTCACAGGGGCCCATTCTTTCTCTGTCTCCCGCTTTGTGGGGCGTTATGATAAACTGATTATATCTGTGTGGGTCGCCAGAGAACATCATAAACGATCAATATTTTTATTTTTGAAAAGCGTAAAGATTTGGCAAATCAGAGATGGCAGAATACCATTTGTTACATAGGAGGCATAGTGTCATAGTTTTTAATATTGTTTCACATTAGAATATCACTACTTTTATTGCAAAGAAATAAATCTTGAAATGTAATTTCTTTGAATTGAATCTTTTGGGTTCTGCTTATTGCATTTATGATTCAATGCAGCAAAATAAACAAATTAAAAAAGTAATAGATCAATGTAATACTTGGTTTATTTACATAATGACTTTAACTGCTGGACCCTGAGCTACTGTCTTTCAGTAACTGTGGCACCCTGAGCAGTTTAGTTGAATAGCCCTGATGTTGAGGTTCTCCTTGGGAGTGACCAGTATGGATGAGATTAGGAATGAGATCATCACAGGTACAGCACAGGTTGAACAACTGAAATGGTTTGGACACGTCCAGGGGAGGGACAGTGGGCATACTGGCAGAAGGATGTTAGAAATACAGCTGCCAGGAAAAAGACAAAGACAAACCCTAAAGAGTAGATATATGGATGCATTTATAGAATAAGTATACCAGTATTTATGGAGGTAGACAGAGTGAGGACAGAGGACGCAGAATGAGACGGAGGAGGATGACTTCCTGTGGTGACCCTTGAAAAGGGAGCAGCCGAAAGACGAAGTAGTGAAGAAACTATGCCAAACAAAGAAAAACAGTATAAAACACTGAAGTATCAAAGTTTGAAAGCAGTGTCAAACATAAAGAATATGTAAAAACAGACACTAACAAAGTCCACATAATCTTCTTGTCTCTTTCCCAGGATGAAAATCACTGTGAAAAAAGTCACTGTAATGCCACTTGGTTGTTGATATGTGCTGCTGACTATCCATGCTGCTGATCTCATGCTGCTGATTTATTTCATGTTGCTGTGTTCATTCGTCCTCATCTGCTCACACAGACTCATGTTCGTGCTGCTGTTGGTTGGCACATTGTTTTGTACTACTGGTGCTTAGTGTATTCTTAGTTTAGTATATTCTTAGTTTAGTGTATTTCTTAGTGCATGTCTTGAATCTTTTTACAGTTTTTATTTACAATTTGTGTTTTTGTTGGATGTAACTGGGACCCTATACACATAGTTTCGATACACCTCATGTACCACGTGTGATGTGAATAACAATATAGAAACCTTAAATCCTTGAATATCCTGGCAGGGTCTCATCTCTCATATATGGGACTTATTTATGAATGAATCATATAATTCAATGACTACATTGAAAACTTCTCAGATCTGACCCACAAAAGAAGACATGTGACCTCAGATGCTGCCAGTTTAAGAATCTTTGAAACTTTTCTATCTCTATTGAACAAAGAAATATGGCGACACAACCAGCTTTCTACAATATTACCTTTAAGTGAATTTATGAGTAATGTGTCTATTTTTCAATATTTACAGAAACGTATTTGATGTTTGCAAATTATTTGTGGACACAGTGCTTCATGACCCACTGTGGTGCTCCAACATAAACTGCGGAAATCACTGTAATAGCGGGTATTAACTCTAGAATCAATCAAAACATTATGCAAGTTTATTTAATCTTACACGGTTCTGGTTTTGTTTGAACAACATTTTGCATAATTTTCTCTGTCAGAGATAAAGTACTTACCAATCTTTCCTTCCTGTGACTTTTGGTGATGTTGGAGGCCCAGGATCCGGTCTTGGTGGGAGATTTGGAGGCACAACAGCTGGCAGCTATGGCCCAGGGACTGGAGGAGTCCTGGGGACAGGCCAAGGATATGGACCTGGACCTGGAGCTGGTTTCAGACCAGGTGGAGGCTTTGGAATTGGACCAGGGACTGGATATGGAACAGGTTAAAAGTGCACTTTTAATTTTCAGAAACAGTTTTCAGCTAAACTAAATCATTACATGCAAAAACCCTGAGCTTTATTTTCTTCTCTCTGTTGTTAGCAGGTTATGGAGCTGGATCGAAACCTGCTAAATATGGTATGAAACTTGTGTTTTAATTCAAAATGCAAATGTTAGTTAAAGAATTCAGAAAAATCACATTTTTAAATGCTAATTACTTGTGAAGGTCAAGGTGGGGTCCTTGGAGGTGGAGCAGGACGAGGGGGTGAGTTCCTCATTTAATAAAATAAGAGTGAGTGAGCTTAAAACAACAGAGATCTGGATTTTTCAAACATTATTCCTTTCTTCCAGAAGTACACAGTACAAATATTATTTGGGGCAGTTTGAAAGTACAATTCTAACTGTACTTTGTTTTGTGTATTTAGTTGGCTATGGACCGGGAGGCTTTGGAACTGGGATAGGTCCAGGTTAGTTTTCACAAGTCGAGTAGTGTCCGTTACATTCAGTTTTATTTTTCAAAAGGATAAACTAATGATTTTACAACAGTAGAACTGTTTTATGAAACCCAAAATGTAACCTGAAAAGAATACTGTTTAAATTTATAATTTAGCTTTAGCCCACAAATTAAAGTGTTTATTTGTTTTTCTTTTCTTTACGTTATTCTATTTTTATTTCATGCCAAAATAAAAAATAAAAATAAAGACTCAACACAGGAGAACTGGGCACATCTTAATAAGACACGAGTTCCCTTGAAAGGTTGATTTGCGGATACTTTTCGAGGTCTCGTACTGAAAGTAAGTTTTTATTTTCGACAGCTTCTGTGTCGTGGAGATCCAGTCAGGCGTTAACAATCTAAATAAATCTAACTTTGGCTGAATTTTAAGCCTGGGACCAAACAAATAAACATTTAAATCTCTGGTTTTCATGTCATTATAGTAATATTAACTGTAATAAAATTTTTTATTCTTTGAAAAGCAGAATACAAGTTTTGCTTCACACCTAAATTTATTTTCTCAAATATCTAGAAGTCTTTGTTTTATGACCGTAGTGTCAAACTCTTCTTTTATCTGTTGTGATGCTCAGGTTTTGGTACAGCTGGATCCAAAGCTGCTAAATATGGTGAGATATGGTACCATTCTTTTACAGATGGAGTCTGTAAAATACATTTTATGTACATTTAAATTAAACAGGAGAATAGAAACGCTTATAAATGCCAAGCGTCAGTGTTAAATTCAGAATACCTTTTTTATACATTTCAGGGCAACCTGGAGGAGTTGTACCTGGAACAGGGGCAGGAACCAGTTCTGGTGTTCCACTGAATGGTACCGGCACAGTCAGCAGGAACGGAACAGCTCGACCTGCTGGTAAATATTCACTTTGAAAAAATTTTTTTTTTAAATGCATACAATGTCCACAGCTTTTATGTCTTTTATGTTTGATAACCTGTGTTCTAGGTCCAAGAGAAGGAGTTCCAGGCGGCACGCCGACACCATCACCAGAGGGTATCTGTGATTTTACCTATAAGGACATATATCAAACAAAACTTTTACCTGAAGGTCCTCAAATGCATCAGTTTTAAGCTAACTCCACATATTAATATAGCTTGTTTCTATTTATCATTTAGTTTTGTTCTCTTTGTCTCTGCCCAGGCGACGGTGTAAACGGCAGTGTCAATGAAGGCTCTGGAATTCCTGGAGAGGGTGTGTAAATATTTCTGGGCTCTTGAGAACATCAGATTGATTTTTAACCATTGCTTTATGGGCACGGGATCATAAATATTGCAACAATGTAGGTCAGGGAATGAAAAAGTGTCAATCATTATTAGCTGTCATTTCATTTTTAGTAGAAGTATTACATCAAAATAAAAAGGGAGTGGTGGCGCAGAGGTTAGAGAAGGTGGGCCTGTGACTGGAAGATTGCTGGTTCAACTCCTCGTACTGACATCAAAATGTGGGTGGGATTGATGAAGCACTCACACCGGCCTCCACCCTCATTTGTCCCACTCTGGACCCTTGAGCAAGGCCCTTAACCCCCACCATCTGCTCCCCTGGGTGCCCTAAATAGCAGCTCTCTGCTCCACACTGAGGGCTGTGGTAGCTCAGTGGTCTGTGGTTGCGGCAGGAAGGACATCCAGCGTAAAAATAATTGCCAAATCTTCGTGCAACAGTTTGCTGTGGTGACCCCTGAAGAAGGGAGCAGCCAAAAGAAAAAAAACCATCAAAATAAAACAATACAAAGGATTCCTTCTTGTCCATAAGTCATTGAACTGTTTCGCTAACAGATCATCTTATATGAACCACCCAGACCTCTCAAATCAGCAAACTGGATCATTAGCTGTTCCACAAATCAGAACCAAACGTGGCGAAGCTGCTTTTAGTTTTTATGCACCTCACGTGGAACAAACCGCGTTAAGAGCTCAGACTTGAGTCTGATCATATTTATCTCTAAATTAAAACCTTTTTATTTTCAATTACATTTAACTAATTGATTTGTAACGGTTTTGTGCAGCTTTTAATAATTGTCTTTAAATTTTTAAATGTTGTATCTTGGTGTATGTGTGTGATAAGTAGTTTGCCTTGTCCGTGTTAACCTGTTTTCATTCTGTAAGGCGCCCTGAGTTGCCTCCTGTTATGAAATGTATACAAGTAAATTTGCCTCGTCTTGCCTGGTAAAATATATAAAAGATCAAAGTTACAAAGGCTCCAAATGTCAAAACGTGTAAAAAACAATATAATTTTTTTTTTTTACAGTGTTAAAATTACACTACTCCTTTACAAATTAAAAATGTTTTAAAAAATCACTCATTTTTATCAATATTAAAACAGGAGTAAGTGGAACAGCAGTGGGGCGGGACGGCGATGGACTAAATGGAACAGGCATCCCAATCATTGGAGCAAAACCAGGTATTTACACGTTAAATATGCGTATAGCTTACATATGTTTATTTAAAATTCAGTTCAAGGTGTTTAAAAAAACAATAATATGTAATGTTTAATCGCTCAAAATATTAAAGCAAGCATTGCAGCTTTCATTTAGGCTGCGTCATTTTAATTATTTTCATTCTTTATAAAACAGGATTAAATGGGACCACCGTTCCAGGTAAGAAATTTTCTAGGTTTGTGTTTCAACACATTTAAAGTGGACATCAATACAACCAATTTAGGGTTAAATATTAAAAGGTTTTACAAACAGCTAATGTGTTATTTTTATATAAAGATGGTTTATTTACATACAAAGTCACAAATCAAATTATCCACACATCTTAAATTTGATATTCAACTGATTCTTAATGATGTTCTTTCTAAATGCTTTATATAATATCGACAAGGGGCCAATAAATGCATTTGGCCGACAACAGCTAACACTTTTGTCTTCACATCTAACAGCTTCCAATGGATGTATCACTGATTAGTCAATTTGAACCATGAATACTGAGATGTTACCTGAGAAAACCCTAGACAGCTAACCTGAAACATTTATTTATTTCTATTCTTAAAAATGATCGCTCTCTTATACGAGTTTTATTGCCTTCAGTTCAGCCTGTCATTGTTACCATTACTGATTAATCTGCATAACTGTGAAGACTTTTTATTCAAAACAAAAAAAAAAGACAAACAATAAATAAGTAAAAGATAAAGTACAAATCTAATTAGTGTCATAAAGTGTTGTCAAAAATAATTCCAATTAATGGTATTATGTTAGCACTTCCACTTTATACTGTTAAAGCTGTCACTGTCAGCGCTTCTCCGTTCTCCACATAATTATCCTTTACTTTGACTCTAGTTCATTGTCTAATTAAAAAAAAAAAAGCTATTTTCATTTAAAAAAAACAACAACAACTAATGCTTCCAAAGATAAGCTGCACTTAGCACCAACTGTGAGCAGGATTTCCTCTGACAAACATTCTGCTCTTGTTTTAAACAACTAGGCCAGAAGCTGGTAAGTTAAACTAGGCTACTCATTAAATATACCTCAGCTGATGCAGCAGGATTGTTACTGTAGTCTTTGAATTCAGGTGGAACAAGAGTTCCCCCTAGAGGTGAGGTTTACTTCAGAACACATGCAGATCACCTTTTAGCTTGAGCAATAAATACCTTAATCAGTTTTAACATCCTCTTAGTAAAGATCTTGTGTGTCAAAGTCAAAATTATCCTTAAATGTATGTCTTTTGGCAGAAACTGATCGCTCAAGTGGGTCGCTGCCAGGACCCAAACCCCTCAAACCTCCAGGTTAATACAATAACACAACATATTTTAACTTTCATGAAGTCAGTCCTCCTAAATGTTAAATTTAAGATGGCATATTCCAAGTCCTTTACCTTACTCCTTCCATGTATGGTCCAAGTAGTTTGGACGACATGTTGATGACAATGGGACTGATCTCGTTTATTTCTGTCTGAAAGGTGTTCCCAGAGGAGACACACCAGGTGAAGGAGATGGAGAAGGAGGTCCTGATGGAGAGAGAGGTGTTACAGAAGCTGTTGGAGGATTAGGCAGCAGAGTAACAGGAGCGGGACGAGGAGACAGTTCTGGCACTGGAACTGAGTCAGTGGGTTTAGCTGCAGCAGTACGAGGAACACCAAAACCCCCCAAAGGTTCTTATTCAGTTTTAGCTGCACAACATAAATCAGAAACCCATACCTACAACTTCCCATCAAACCAGTATGGCTGAATGGCTAAAATCATCGAAGTTGTGAAAAATCCAAAATTCCTATACACAACAGTAAAATATTTTTGTTTTAATAAGGACGTGATGGGACTCCAGCAGGAGGTGGACTTGGTGGAGTCGGTGGGGTGGCAGGAGGAGTAGGAAGTGGAACCAGCTCAGTTGGAAGAGGTCCTGGAGGAACTGGCTTGGTACCTGGGGCTGTTGGCGCTGGCGAAGTTGGAACAGGAGTCCCAAAACCTGGAAAAAGTAAGCAGCAGTCATGTTTGGGCCTTGCGTCCTCCCCAAACCTACATGCCTGGAATACACAGACACAAACCTTTTTCTGTTCTATCTCTTGTGTGTTCACCCTCACAGGTTATGCTGCTGGAGGAGCTGGAGTTTTACCAGGTGGAGATACGCTATCTAACGTTTTCACATTACAACCAGCAAATGGCTCAAACCGCTAGAGTACTTTTCTTTGTTCTAACTCAGGCATACGTTACCCCAATGGAGCTGGAGTAGGACAAGGAGCAGGAAAAGGTTTACTAGACTCTCAACAACTCATCTCTGTATAATACAGTCAACAAGGAAAATAGTTCAATTATGTGTTAACTGATTTTGTGTTTCTTTAAGTATATGGGACTTACGGAGCTGGAGGCTTGGCGGGGTTTGGACCTGGTGGATATGGTGCTCGTCCCGGAGGTTATGGTGCAGGGCCTGGAGGTTATGGGACTGGACCTGGAGGCTATGGAGGGCAGACTGGAAGCAGGGCCTTTGGTGGTTCCGGAGGCGTTGCGACTACTGGAGTGGGAACTGGTCCTGGAGGTGTAGCAGCTGGCCAAGTCGACAGTGGACTGGGAGGACATGGTGGCGGTGTAAGACCTGATGGTAAGCAGACGGTCTGATTTTTTAAATAATATTTGGATTTTAAAAGTGTCAAATAATTTGAAGCTGAACGTTTACTCTTTATCTTAATCAGGTTCTCGATATGGCACAAGTCCAGGAACTGGCAAACCCTCAAAAAGTATGGCAGCATTGAGCAGACACAGATGCATGCACAAATGAAACTTCATGGAGACAAATAAAACAAGACTATATTTTTTGTATTTTTAGGTTATGGAGCAGGATCTGTTGGTACTGGAACAGGGCCTGGCAGTTATGGAACTGGACCAGGTAGTTTTGGTCCAGGTGGCTTTGTGCCTGGCAACCTTGGACAAGGTGGACTCGGGTCTGGCACTGCTGGCACTGGACTGGGTGGTGCCGGCACAGGACCAGGTAGTTTTGGACCAGGTGGTACTGGCACAGGACTATATGGACCTGGTGGAGCAGGAACCATTCCTGGACTTTATACGGGAAGTCAAGGACTAGGAGCACGAAAACCACCAAAAACTGGTATAATATTTGTCTTTTAAAACTAAAGAACATTTAGTAAATAATTACTAAGATGTATGTTCTAACCATTAAATTCTGTGTACAGGTTATGGACCTTCATTGGCGGGTGCTGGCTATGGACAAGGTAAGAATATTTAAAGTTTGAATGCTGTTTATTTATATTTTTATTTTGTAGTTGTCAGTTGCTTAAAAAATCTAGGTGTTTAAAACTCATAACACATATTTGAAAAGACATGCAGAATAAGAACTACAATGGTGAATAGCAAGGGGAAAAAGTTTGTTTTCTTGATACTTGCATTGATTCCGTCTGACTTTTCGTGCAAGTAATTTTCTTTTTCATTATAAAGCAACAACCTGGTTCAGAAAGTGTGATTTTTTTCTACAAGTAGACTGTATTAATTAAAAATAGAGTTACCTGCTGGTTGTTCAACTGACTGGTGACTCACTTCATCATCTGAAGAGAAGTTCCTCATTGTGACCTCATAAGAAATAAGGAGTACCTTCAAGAGGATTAATCCTTACAAAGCCATCGGACCACAACATCCCGAGGAGGGTGCTGAGGGACTGTGCCAAGCATCTCTGCGAGGAGCTGGCCAACATCTTTAACTCCTCCCTCACCCTGGAAACTGTTCCCACCTGCTTGAATGACCACCACCATCATCCCTGTTCCTAAAAGCTCTGCAGGGACTGGTTTGAATGACTACCAGCCAGTAGCCTATACCCTGATAGTTGCTAAATGCTTCAAAAGACTAGGCATGGCCCACATCAAAGCTACTATCGACATCAGTGTGGACTCTCATCAGTATGCATACCGCAAGAATCAATCTACAGAATACGTCATCTCCTCTGTTGTCCACACTGCGCTCACCCACCTGGAGCAGAAGGACTCCTATGTCTTAAGTCCTACGATGCTCTTTGTGGACTTGACATCTGCCTTCAACACCATGATCCCCCAGACCCTGATGGACAAACTACTTACACTAGGACTAAGCCCCTCCGTATGCAACTGGATCATGGACTTTTTAAAAAACAAACTGCAGTCTGTGAGGATCCACAACTTCTCCTTCTCCACCATTACCCTCAGCACTGGCTCCCCTCAGGGCTGTGTGTTGAGCCCCATCCTGTTCACTCTGCTCACATATGACTGTGCACCTACCCATCCAGGCTACCATATTGTACAGTTTGCAGAAGATACAGCGGTGGTGGGATGAATCACAAACAATGATGAGTCCAGCTACAGGCAGGAGATGGAACACCTGGAGAGTTGGTGCAGGAAGAACAACCCCCACATCAATGTGAAGAAGATGAAGGAGATGATTGTGGATTTCAGAAGGAGCACACTCCTCCCTGCACATAGGAGAATCAGCGGTGGAAGTGGTCTCCAGCTACAAGTACTTGGGTGTGCACCTAAATGACAACCTCAGCTGGGGCAACAGCACTTCCAACCTGATCAAGAAAGTTCATCAGAGACTCTACTTCCTCAGGCGGCTGAGGCGAGCTGGTCTGGGAAGCTCAGTCCTCACCTCCTTCTACAGGTGTGCAGTGGAGAGCATCCTGTGCTCCAGCATCAACGTGTGACATGGATGCTGCACAGCTGCAGAAAGAAAAGCTTTGCAGAGAGTGGTGAAGGCTGCACAGAAGACTGTTGGAGTCAGTCTCCTCACCATCTACACCTCCAGATACAGGAAAAGGCCTACCTGTATCATGAAGGACCCCGCTCACCCAGCACACATCTGGGCTGCTGATTATCCATGCTGCTGATTTCTTAACTTAAACTGCTGTATTCATACCCATCTGCTCACTATACAGACTCATGTTCATGCTGCTGTTTAATACGCCGTATTATATTACATCATTGTTTAGTATATATCTTAGATCCTTGTATACAGTTTCTTTTTTATACTTTATACTTTTGCTATTTTGGGGTGTAACTGGGACCTTGAGTACACAATTTCGTCCCACCTCATGTACCACATGTGATGTGAATGACAAAGAACCTTGAACCTTCAAAAGATGGAAAAGGTTGGTTGTGGTACAGAAGTAGTGCGGCGGGTTTAGGACTGGAAAGCCACAGGTTGAACTCCCCTCCATTCCTATACAGTATGTTATGGTGTCCTTAAACAACACACCAATTATCTACCTGCTGCCCGGGCAGCTTACATAACTGTGTTCTGCTCCACCTGGGTGTATCTCACCTGTGATGGGTCAAATGCAGAGAACAAATTCTGTCATTGTACCGGAGCATACAGTACAATTATTAAAATAAATAGCACTTTTACTTTATTTGTAAATACAGGACATCATTTACAACTGAAAAGATTTCATGCTGTTTTATACATAAGATTTAAAAGAATATCTAAAACAGACTATTTTTAAGTTGTAACAGTAATAATTGTTTGATGAGTAAAGCTCTTCAGACTGATATACGAATCCTAACGAGAGAATTTAAAATCTGCTGCTGTTTTCCAGGTGCTGGAGCTGGCAGATATGTACCTGATGGTGCTGGCACAGGGACTGGATTTGGACCAGGCAGTGCTGGTGCAGGGACTGGATTTGGACCTGGCGGTGCTGGCACAGGGACTGGATTT